TGTATTTTAAACTTGCGTGAAAATGCCCGCGTATATGCGTTTATGCGTATTTCTTAGTTTTATTTTTTTCATTCATGTCAGATTTTGACAGATCGTTGAGGTTACTAAAAAATTATGGGAGGGAGATATGGAATTTATTTATATAAATTTATTTCATAATTACAATTATTTAGAATTTATATAGAGAATTTATTTATATAAATTTATTTCATACAATTTGTATTTAATTAAATATAAATCAACATGAAGGATTTTGGGTCTGTTATATATACAAAGATCGTGATATTTATGGAGTTCTTGGTATAATATTTATAAGTTGACATGGATTTTAATAAAGGATAATTTGAGAAATCTATTCTATTCAACTAAATACATCTGTAGTAAAATATATGCAATCATTGCAAAACAAAACTAATGCTTATTACAATATAATAGTTCCATTCACTTAGCGTATGGAAATTAAAGTATAATAAAGTATAATATAGTATTATATATAATAGTAGTATAGTATACAAAGTAATATTATAAATAAAACATTGAAATAAAATAGAGTTGCGGATAATAATTACATAGTATTATATTGTATGATTGCGGGATTATTGACCGGTTACTGTAGATTGAAATATCACCTAACGAAGTTAGTAATTCAATCCAACTCAGACTGCTAATAATGTAGAGAAGAGAACGAAACTACATACCATGTGCTTGGGGAGTGCCCGGCACTGATGCACAAGTAGAAGAAACACCTAGGAGGATATTTTATGGACGATAAGGAAACAAGACTAGGAAAGATAGGTTCTATACTATCTTTCATTAAAAAAATCGAATTTGGAGAAATACTCTAATCCGACTAAGGGGCACAGTAGATCTTATAGGTAGGTCGCAGTGCCTTATCCCTTCTTTTCAATAGTAATAATTATAACAATAGTGTATGATCTGCCTAATTCCATAAATTCCAGATCATTTACTGTAATGCATATAGGTATGTGTTCATCATTGACAAAATTTGATTATTAACGGAAATCGATTATTTGTTCCAAGTACGACCGGAAGTATGACCCGGAGCCACTTGTCGTTATCGTCGACAAAATGCTGTTCGACACCTCCAAAAGGGACTTCATAAGCAAGTCCCAGCGGGCTACAAATACAATAACAACTATTTGTTCATTCCAAAGTAGCAAGGATTCTTCGTTCGACTCAGTCTAGTTTCAATTATAACCCATCAACTTCCTCATTCCTTCACTATATGAAACACGCATTCTGTTCTCTCTATAAATATCTTCAAAATATCTTCAATCACTTCCTAACTCATGGATTTGTTTTCCGTTTATGTTTTCTGCGATATAAGTATTACAAAAATTACAACTTGTTCACTCTTACCAGAGCATATGTCGCTTTAAGCTCAATTTCCTAATTTCTATAAGTTTCATTTCTATGAGTTTCAAAGTGAACTCAGCTTGCCTTAAGATTTTAATTTGAGAAATATAAGTATAAAGTTTTAAACTCATTTTGTGGAAGATGCTGTTTTTCTATTAAAACTAATACTCATCTGTAGTACCCTTAAGATTATTATATAGTCTATTGTCCAAATATTGGTAACAATAAAATATTTTTAAAACTAATTTAAAAAGTTTTATTATTAAACTATTTTTTTTCCAATCTTATACCGGGTTTGTACACAACAATTTGAAGCAAAAGTTTACGGAGAGCACGACGGACAAAATGATATGGATTATCTCTATCTTCTAATATTAACTTGCGTTCTGTATTTACAGAAAATATAGGTGTGATGTATTTCATACATAACTTTTTGAAAATAACAGATACTTTATATTGCCAATGCAATTATACAGACACATGAATAAACTGAAACTTAGTCGAGAAGTCCTATACTAATAGCGACGAGAACCCCCAGAAATACATAGTATTTAGTAATTCTTTCAACAAGAATCAACTGCGGTATTACATTGATAGATTATATTTATAATAATAGCTTTAAAGTTTGACTTTTTTTAAAAGTATTAACGAAACTTTCCTTTGCCATTAAAATTTTAAATTGCAGTCATATTTTATAAAAATAATTACAATTAAAAATTTAAATACTACATTTTATTAACACAATTTTTATCACAATGTTATATATGAATTAATTATATTTCTAGTACTTAACTAATATTTGATGTACGTAAATTGATAAATGCTTTATAACACTTTGTTAAGAACTGAATTACTTTTAAATAAATTAATTATAATGTCAAACATAAATTAATTGTTTTTAATATTTTGATTAGGAATACTTTGATTTATGTTATATGCATTTATTATTTAACTAGAAAATGGTCTAGCGTTTTTTTCCAGCATTTGAAGAATTTTAACCTTTACTTCATTTTGCTTAGCAACGGGCATCTTGTTAAGTAATGAGGCCTCTATATCAAAAAATGCTTGATGTTCACTTTTTACTTGTAGTTTGTCTGTTATTGTTTTCAGTGAAGTCATCAATTCCTTGATATCATCACAAGCTACTGTCTTTTTCTCCTGACTATATGATGTGGATGATGCTGGAGTGTTACTAATGAAGGCAAATGACGTTGGCTCATTTATGGTGGATGGTGATGGGGTAGTTCTGTCAAAGGCATATGATGTGGTTTGCTCATTTGGGCTGGAAGGTGATGGAAAAGTACTACTATTGTATCTAAATACTTGTACTTGATTTTTATCTGGTATGGAATTGTCATCGTCTAAGCTGGATAATTGTGGAGAATGTCTATTCAATTTGAATGCTTCAACTTGATTTTTATCAGAATTTGAGTTATCATCTTCAGTATGCGGTGATGATTTAAATTCATATGACTGAGTTAAAAACGTTGGAGATTGCAAAGACGTGTTTGCCATTTTAAATCGTGTGCTAGAACAAAAAAATATATATATATTTATTCATATGCATTTATAACAGTTGTTTTTGAAATGTATTTTTCCCTACTTTCTGTGTCTTATATGTCCGGATAAAAATTGCAAATGTGGCATATACTCCCAGTTTTGTGTTGATCGAATACCGTTACGTTGCTGCGATTCAATCTTTTGCTTCTCGCGCACATAACGATCCCGAATTACACGCCATCTAATCTGACAAGCTTCCTCTGAAAACGAATTCAATTATTTTTCTTTAATATTACATTATTATCTTACTAGGAATGTCCATTGCGTTTGCTACAGTCACCCATGCCTCATCCCGTAGTTTCTTCTTTTTTAATATAGTTGTACATTTTTCATATAGCACCGTATGCTTTTCTATTTCATTTATTAAACTTTCATCGCTTATTAAATAACTGTTTTCTTTCTGCAAAAAGAGTAAGACATTTTTTTACTATAAATAGTTTTAATGCTTATATCTTTAATAAATATATTTACCATTGGATTTATTCTCTTTTACTTAGTTCTGCACAAATTTAATGTTTTGATTTACAAAATGTTTTGAATTTATGTTTTTAATTTCAATATAATTCGATGTTCCAACATAAGCAAAGCATAAATAACGTTTTTGCGTTTATACGTTGAATATTTCAAACAAAAACTAAATTATAATGTTGCGTTTTTGCGTTTTGCAAATTAATAATTGTTTACAATTTTAATATGAATATTATAGCACTGCCAAGCTAAATATATATAACAAAGATTATTAATTTTTATTCACATATATATTTTATTTAGTTCTCATTATTATATAACACTTTATATTAAAAAAAAATATTTATAATCAAAATAATTTTATTATAATTATAAAAAACTATCAATATGACATATTGATAGAATATTTTAAAATAAAACGTTTTGATAAAAATTTATTTTAGTCTGGCAACATATTCAACGCACGAAACGCAAATAAAAACCGAAAATTGTTTTAATATGTGCATTCGTTGCATACTACATAGCTCGCAACATTTACTTTTTAGTCGTATTAATATAAAAACATTTTATTTCAACCAAAAAGATAATAATAATAAATTTTATTATTTCAACTTCATTGTCAATTTTAGTACGCACTGAATATAGATTTCATAATTTAATATTACGAATGCAACCATGTTTGTACTAAAAGTAATAAGTTTAGTACAAAAACAAACTGTAGAACGCAACGCAGAACATGAAAGTAATTTTTGTTTTAAATAGAAATAAATAAATTTATATAATAAATAGAAAATTATAAAACTA